TCCATGAAGCCTCGTCTGGCGAATTAGCGGCTGATTAGGACAAGTCCTTTGTCTCTACAGCACAAATACACAAGGCTGTTGTCATGCCCAATGGCTTTCATTGACTGCAGGACAAATACAATTGAAAATGTATATTCTGCGACCAATACAGCTCTTTATTGTTCAGTGATAACATTTGTTTAGGAGTCTTCCCTGGGCCAGGGTCTTCACTTTATACTAACAGACTGTAGTTTAGCTCAGCAAAGATACTAATACGAATATAACTATAAAATAGAAGTACATTCTTATAGTAACAGGTGATGACTAAACTGACAGATAACAACAATAATAACTCTATGTTGTTTAATTATATCTGACAAATGCAGTGCTTTACATTTAAACAACACAGTCAACAAAAATAGATTTGGTCTAAAAAAGATTGCATTTCATCAAGAGAGCGGCATGTTTGATGCTTTGTAAAAACAAGACAAAAGATGTGTGGCTGTGTTACTGTTTTATTGTTTTATTGTGTGTTCCTTCAGCTGACTGACTTTCTCTTTTTCTGGCAGCTCGCCTCTTTGTGGAGACGGACACCTTTGGCAGTCGAGTGAGAATCAGAGGTGCAGAAAGTGGGCGCTACCTCTGCATGAACCGGAAGGGCACACTTGTTGGAAAGGTACAATATAATTGTATTATATATTTATTTGAATGGAAACCATTGGCTGCAGATGTGGAAATTGATTTAAACTTTAATATTAAGCAGCCAAATTCTAAAGTTGGCAACAGGACTTTAATCATGCAATCTTTGGGCAATTTCTTTTTTTATGTCACTATTTACTAAAAATATATGTATTTTTAGAATAGTTAAAAAAAAAAAAGGAGCCTGGACTTTTCAGAGGGCTTACAGTGTGCTCGGCCTCCACTAGAAACACTGCGGCTCCTAAACCCCCCCCCCCCCCCCTGTCATGTAGTCTCAGTCAGCTCAGGACATGATGTGCTGGAAACAGGACCCTCGGACCACTGAGCGACTGTTGCTCAGTCTTATTGGCCACGTCTGCCGGCGATGAAGGGAAAGTACCCTCCCATCATGCACTGCCTGTGTGTTTGGTCATAAGTCAACTCTCCACTTCCTTCATGGAAATGGAAAAAAGATGGATTCACACAGCTGGCTGACAACCCATAGTGTAAATGATCAGGAGTGCAGAAAACCCGTGTCTGCTGTAATGTCTGTTTAGAGATAATGAAAAAACAGAAAGACGCTGCCCAACAGCTCCCGACTCTTCCAACCTGATACAATTGTTATATGTTGATTAAAAGAAACAATTCTTTTTCAGAAGAACATTTCTTTTTTTAGTACTTCAGGGCAATAAGAACTGATGAGTCCTGCAATGTGTGGCTGGCACTCTGTCTTTGGGAGCCATTTAGATTCAGGTTATACCTGTTGATCACAGACCTGAAAACAACTACAATACACAAAGATTTCATGACAAAAGAGTCTGCAATAAAGTTATTCATGGTTACCTTTTTTATTGTTTATGGTCAAAGATAAAACATGTAGGCCTAAGTTAATGTTTCTATATGCAGCACTAGTAAATGAATTTAGAATGCATTTAGTGTAAGTCACTATGGATGAAAATGGCAGCTAAATGAATACAATGTAGCCAACGTTAGCGATTGCCATAAAAGACCAAGTTGGACTATTACACCAAAACCCCTGAGCGCATTCAAACCGAGCAAGGGAGTGATTCATTCCTCATAACAGCACCTTCTTATTTGCAATAGAAACAATTTGTTATTTTCTCTTTTTCAAAATGTATATCGTCTCACTTCAAGAAGGCTTTAACATATTTAGGTATTTAGCAGTTTTTTGTTTGATGTTTATATGAATGAATGTGAATGCGTGCTACTGTCTGTGTGTCAGGCAGTCTGTCCGTCTAGTTTTAACACAAGAACCTTTTCTGTGTTCTCACCCAGCCCAACGGCCGGAGCAGGGACTGTATCTTCACAGAGATCGTACTGGAGAACAATTACACGGCGTTCCAGAATGCCAAGTATGACGGCTGGTATGTGGCTTTTACCAGGAAAGGGAGGCCCATCAAAGCGTCCAGGACGAGGGAGAACCAGAGGGAGGTCCATTTCATCAAGAGGCTCCACACGGGCCCACCCCCCTTCCCAAACACAGACCAAAGCAAACACTTTGAGTTCATCCGATTTCCGGCCACTCGTCGAGCGAAGCGAAACAGGAAATCACCTCCTATCTCTTCCTAACACGCAGCAACAGAAATGGACTGATGACAGTTGTGATATAGGAAGAGGAGATACGATTTTATTTTTGTATATTTTTGATAGGCAAAAGATGGTTATATGCCATAAATCTAAAGTAATATTGCTATAAAATGGTCATGTGTAAATACAGAAAGAGAGTAAAGAAAAAATGATTGTATTTAATGGTCCTGTGCGTCTGTGCTGACTGAGCTGCATTACAAACGGCAACATGACTTAACTACCTAGATGTTTCTGTCATATGGACAACTACATTTCCACGGATACAAAACGGCGCAGAGTTCACATTCTGCATGGACTGTGAACCAAAATACATTGATAACATAGTCAAGAAGTAACAGGATTCTTATGATTTCCTTATTATTTGACTCTGTTTAATGCAGCGGGTGAATGAAATGATGCTCAAACCAAATGGAACTTCTAAAGGCAGTTGCGATGTCTGTAGCCGATCAGCCTGTAGCCAATACTGAAATCTCTCATTCGGCAATTCAACAGGCCAGTTTTCATTACAATGTAATAGAGCACAAAATATGTTTCATCTTCTGATCTCAAACGGCAGGAATGAATCAAAGGAATCTGAATGAGTGAATTTGGGATTATTGTCTCATGTCAAACTGATTCTCTAGCAGAACACTTGTTATATGTGCACACCTTTGTTCCATCATGTTAACGTGTCTCTCCCTTGTACACTATATTATGCACGGATGCAATAATCAACTTTTCTTATATGTTTATAATAATTGAACTTCCCACCTTATGTTCTTTTAATGAAATATGACATTTGTCAATGTTAAAAAAGAATAAAACCTCTTTAAAAGGACTTAGTAAGTTCGAAAGTATATTTGACTCAGAACTGTCATTTTACAAAGTGTCAACATATCACCAGCATATTGGAAAGAAGTTTGACATTTTGGACTCAAGTGAACCTCATGGTGTGGCTAGAGAAAAAGTCAGCAGACCGCCAGATTCCTGGAGACTTATCCTCTGAGCCCCATGAGTATCTGAATCAAATGTCATGGAAATCCATTCAATAACTGTTGAGACATTTTAGTGTGAATAAAAGTGATTCACTCAGCATGGCTAACAATGAACGAGTTGTTTATAAACTATGAGGCTGTCAGTAGAGAACACATTGTTGTAAGCATTGCAAGTTGCTATTAAAGAAGTAGAAGTTAAGAAGCTAACAGTCATGGCACCTCCAGCTCCAATAGCTGTAACAATTTCAAATGTGCTGCATGCCAACAGATGCTCAGGCCAAGGACAACACATATTAGAATCAAACAGATGATGGCAATTTGCTCAGGACCATCTTGAAGAGTGGATGGATTTAAAGGATGAGAGGTGTGGGAGATGAGTGCAAGTCAAGCATCCTCCAGCGACAGTGTTCATCCACACACTAATGCTCACACTTCAGATGAGAGTGTATTAGATCTGTGTGACCAACACTGAAACAATGTTATGACAGATCAACATGCTATTTGGAGTCCAGACAAACAATGTAGCTCTTTAAATGAACTTGGCAGAGAGGGGAGTCATGAGCCTTAGACTGAAATATGAAATAGGCTGTGTCTATGTTATTGTAATGAGATCTATTTTTGCATTGATGATGATAGAAAAGCATTTAATGAGTGGTTGGTGGGAGAACACTAACACTGTCTGTGTCCTGTGCCATCCTAAGTTCCAGGCCACATGCACACCTCACTCAGAAACATTTGATTTGATCAAATGTGTCCCAGGTATAACATTGCGGATGATAATTTCAACTCTAAAATATAAAAGTATTAATCAAATACAATGTAGAAATATGTTACATTTGTTTTAAAGTATTTATATAATAAACATTTAAAAATGTAGACTTGCCATGAAAACATGTAGGAAGCAAAAGTAGAATTTGTCATCTACTGGATGACTGATCAGCGATTTCCTCAGCAATAACAGTCCTGTTATAGTCCTGATGCAGTCCTGCAGAGGTGGGACAAGTACTCAGACCTCAGAGAGAGTAGGAATACTCTGTTACAGTCAAAGTCCTGCAATCAATAGGTTACTCAAGTAAAAGTACAAAAGTATCTGCCTCAAATATATTTTAAGTACCAAAAGTAAAAGTAGTCATTGTGCAGATTGGTCCATTTCAGAATAATATATATGATATGTTTTATAATGATTGATCATGAAAGTGTTCTCAAAGCTGGTAAAGGTGCAGCTAGTTTGAATGACTTTGTATACTGCAGGGTAGCTTGTGAATTTACTCTAGGTGGAACTAAAGTCTGATTTAACACTTGATTATATTTCACATCATTCATCCACATCTGTGAAGTAACTAAAGGGATTAAATACATGTAGTGAAGTAAAAGTACATGATTTACCTCTGAATTGTAGTGGAGTAATAATAATAATAATAATAAAGAAGTTTGAAGTAGCAAAACATTTAAATACTCAAGTAAAGTACAAGTACCTCAAAATGTTACTTAAGTACAGTACTTGAGTAAATGTACTTAGTGACTTTACACCACTGCAGTCCTGTTCTAGTCCTGATACAGTCCTGTTCCAGCTGAGTCAGATCTTTGTGAGGGTCTCTGGCGCCCTCCAGTGGAGCTGCAGCGAACTGAACTCAGGTCAGGTTGAGTCAGCTGATTCCACCACAACAGGAAGAGGAAGTCACAATTCGAAAACCTGTCATGTAAGATAGCTAACTCATTTGTACACTTGTTTTATTTATTAAGAAAGGGGTCCGGCTGAAGATGTTCGGGGGGGACGATGAGGACGGGGACTTCCTGTCTCCCGCAGGAGGGTGAGTGTTTCTCAGCCAAGCTAATGCCTTTAGCCTCTCAGCTAACTAGCTTACCAGCATTAGCCGGGGTTAGCTGTGCTCGTGATTTAGCCACATTTAATTTAAAACCAGGCTATTTATTTTTGACCCTGTTAGTAGGTAATGACCTTCAGAGAACAGATAGGTTGTTCGGCCTACATAAGAACACTTTGCAATGAGAGTTGTCCATTGTTGTTCTTCTACCACAATGCCAAGTGAAGCACAATGAAGCATTTCAATAGAATATACATTTTAGATAAATAAAGATAAGATATACTTGAATTGATCCCAGTTTTGGAAATGATTTGATCACAGCAGCATGTAGACAAGCATTGCACCTGAAATACAAAGTAAATAAAATACAAAATAAACAGCAAATATATCAGTAAAAATAATAATAAACAGAACAGTGCATATGTATATATCAATATACCTAGGGTATCTCTATTGAATATATTATATTAATGTACAGATGCAAAAATCAGTTAAATATTCATAAAGGTCCTTCCTGGTTGCTCTCATTAAACTACCAGATATTTCATGAGTTTTTTTAAGACCTCCAAATAAGAAAGTGGGACAGTTTAGGGAAGCTAAGAGTTCATTTCATTTATTTGTACCATGTTCGTTAACGGCTAGAAAGTACTTTCATTCTACAAAAAGAAAATGTATAACACGGCATCTAGAGCCTAGGAAGTTCTGATGTTGACAAATAAGAAGTTTGAGGACTCCAAACTGTGATGCTTTTGTTACGACTAGCTTACTATTAATATACATTGGCTCTCAATTATGATGCATTTAGTTCCTGCTTTGCCACATTCTCAGACTGACAGCCATGCTCTCTGTTCTGTGTGACCATTGGCATTGTGTGATGGCTGCACAGTGTGTGGGGGAATAAGCAGCCAGTGTAGGGCATGTTCTGGAGGGAGGGGGTTATGGCGGCTAATTCCTATCACATGCTGCCTGTTAGAGGAGTAAGGTGAAGCTTTTTGCCTCAGCCCATCTGTGCTCAGTGGAGACCCAGCAATGTGCTGTGCTGTGGAATCTACCACGATGGTGTGAGAGTGTTGGGGGGTGAGGGATCAGGCTGACCCAGGACTGAGGCGCTGCTACGTACACTAGAAGGAGTTTGACTCGCATGCAAACAGACTCTTCTCCTCCGAGTTCTTTACCGTGGGTGATGAGGGCCTCGAGGCCTCCAACATGTCGGCTCCAGGAGATTCCAGTGATTACCAGTGGAAGGAGTTCCAGGGGTCAGTACATGCTAGCTGGACTTGGTCTATCCTCAACTGTAGCAGATAATGAGACTGGTGCCTATGATGAGGTAGTAGTTGTAAGGATGTTCCATGTAATAACTTAGTGATGGTTGTCTCCTCAATACACTTGTGAATATGTGGATCATATTGTTTTATTTACAGACGCATTCATGTTTTCCTTCAGGCATAAAAATGTGCTGCTTCACATTTTTATATATCGGTGCAAAATGACACAAAAATGGATGATGACCTGGGGAGGTTGAAACATGTGGCTGCATGATGCTGAGCAACCTAATCTGCTCAAAGGAAAGATATATAGTAAAGATGGTGCATAGACGTTGAGGTTTGTTTTGCCCTCCTCAGTGAAGGGGTTTTGCTTCACTGTCATGGCCCTGATGCTGCCTTGATGACAGCTAGGCAGACGTCATGTGGACTGAACTGATAAGAGCTGTTGGAAGTGTGCCACGCCCCTGAAATGAAGATGACAGGCTGATGTACCTGCAGGACTCTGGCTGTTCTGAGTGTGTTATGGTTGATTTCACTTATTGAAAGTCCTTTTGATAAAAGCTTCAACTAAATGAAATGTAATGTATGAGCAGATGTACCCTGTTGAGCAGGAAGCATCCTGACTGCACATTCCTGTCTCATACCTGAGGCCATGATGTTTTCATTCTATGAGCGTAGCCAAAGAGTGGCTCATACATTTCATGAAACAGAAGTTTATGTCGATGATCTTTACCCTTGATCTGCAGGGCCAAATTGGCCTCCCTGTTTGGACTAGACCAGGAAGGCAGTCAGGGAAACGAGTCCTTCCAGTACACGGCACCGAAGCAGCCGAAAAAGAGTTTCACTTCTGGTAAGACAACGTGAATAGAAACAGCAGTGATTTCAGATTCAGCCACGATGAGGTTGAACCCAATGTGTCTTTTGTCCGTTTACAGCAGCAGCCACCCAGAAAGCTTCTCTTCCCCCCGGAGCTCCTGCAGTGTTATTCGCCACAGCAGTCCAGGCCTTCAGATAGTGAGCTCCCAGTTTTTATAGTCTAATCCCATTTACTGTAAATTCTGTATTACTGTAACTTTGTTTTATTTTACTTGCTATACATAAAAAGTATGTGGGCTGCGGCTATTCACTCCCTTCATGAATACAGATGTTGTACTGAAAGGATGTTCTCCCCTTTTTGTCCCATGTGCAGTATTAACGGACAGTATGTGAAGCAGGGGAAGCTGGGAGCAGCTGTGCTGGGCAACCACTCAACAAAAGAGGTCGGAGGTTTGCTAATTGGTCACTTGTTTCAGATTATTGATGTGACTTTTGATTTTTACAAAAAATGCACCTCTTTTTTTTTCTGCAGTACAAGCTGCTTCTGTACTTGAGCCAACAGAAACAAGTGGCGGCAGCCAAGATTCATTTGGGCTTTGTTTTCACGGTGAGTGGACACATCAAGGGTGTACACCTGGACAGATAATGTGATGTATCACACCTTACACTGAGGGCACATAAGGAAACAATGTATGGAAACACGGTGCGATCATTTGTAGATCTGAAAACTTCGAACGGAAGAAGGTGAAAAAACCGCTCACAAACCGCACAAAGTTTTACTTTATCTGATAGGGTTCGCACGTATGTTGCGTTTTCTGTCCAATCCACTGCTTTCCATTTAGGCTTGTTTTCAGGCTGGGACCCACAATATGGAGGATCATTTAACCTTTTACAATGCAGGGCGCGCGCGCGCGCGCGCGCACACACACACACACACACACACACACACACACACACACACACACACACACACACACACACACACACACACACACACACACACACACAACACACACACACACACACACACACACACACACACACACACACACACACACACACACACAACACACACACACACACACACACACACACACACACCCACACACCACACACACACACACACACACACACACACACACACACACACACACACACACACACACACACACACACTCTGATTTATTGTCAGGTTTCTAATGGGGGTTTAAATAAATATTGATCAGAGCGACCACAAACTACATTTATTATCATGTGCTATATTAACAGCATATGATATTAAAGCCATCTCTTCCCCTGGTTTAACTTCTATCTGTAGTGTTCACACTTCCTGCTACTGTCTTTATTACTGTGTAAGTGCCTTGGAGTATTTCTTATTCAAAACGCTTGAAGCAATAGAAAAGTGTTTCACTATAGAGAGACAGCACCTATTCCTGTTCCAGAAATGTCATGTGACTCCTGCCCACAGACACAGCTGGCCAATCGGAGCTCCTGTTTCCTGGCTGTGGGCGGGGCTTTATTGAAATGTTAGGCTCACTGCTTACACATTTTTGAATCCCAGTGAAATCACAAAATGAAAGCTGTAGACATTTAAGCGAGAGACAAATGATTATATAACAAGGAAATGATAAGCAGACATACAAATAAATAAAATAACAAAAGTTTATAAAAAATATTATTATTTTAAGATTTAATGAATTATCCAAACTGAATTTTCTCCAAATGTTAAGAGATCTTTTTGTTATTTTGATGTTGTTTTTCGTTTTCTAATGCATTTGTGGCTCTTGTGTTGTGTGTTACCACCTGGCCTAAGGTTATTTATGGCTATGGTTAAATAGCATGCATTACCTAGCTGATAAACAGCCTTTTTGGAGGAGCCAAAGGGTCTGTATCTTTACAAATATTGTGCTTTACAATTCTACTTCTCTCTTTGGCCAATACACATTCCAGCTCTCAGTTTACACTCCATGCACCAGGGGGATTTATCAGTTGTGTGGTTTATTTATAATTCTATTTGACATGCTTTATGATCTAATAAAATCATGTTCATCATAAAGGGTATGAAGGTCCTCTTCCCATGGCTCTAAAAGAGTATACAAATAACAGAAGTACGGACGCTCTGATCAGCAGGGGAAATACATTCTGATGATCTGCTTTCTGTCCATTTTTTTGACTTTTGGAAAGTTTGAAAGGGTGGCATTATACATGTTTCCAGTTGTAAGTTCATGTAATAGTCCTTTTGGCCTCAACAGTGTGACGTGCTCCACTACCTCATGTTCTAAAGAGGACAACATTATTCATGTTTCCTTCCTGGACACTTCTTAATTCCTCCTGTAACCTCAACACAAGCTACATATATTGTGTGTTTGCAAATGATATAACATCACTGTCATGTCTTCCTTTGTCTAGAATAAAATGTATAGCTTTTAGTCATATTTCATACATGGGAAAAGAAAGAAAGATTCAACTGGAATAAAAACGTTTATATTTGCTTTTTCTCATCATAAACACTAAAGGGAAAACTATTGAGATCAGATTTAGAAAATACATTACCAGAAGAAAAAATAATAACGATATCCTTTCCTCTCTTATTGCCTCTCAGGGATTTAGTAAATACATCTTCATTAGATATTTATAAAGACCTTTTGAAATCAAAACAGTTGAATATGTATACGTTTGGCAGCAGTGTCCACACTCCCTATCAGTCTGTCGCTGTGAATAAATAAGAGTGTGTCACTTGTAAACTAGGGAGCAAGTTGCAGATGAAATGCTGCGTGATGAACTAATGTGTTCTTCCTCATGTTGGTTCTCTGCAGGTACAGCCAAACAATTACTGCACTTTTTATGATGAGCAGAGGCAGAACTGGTCCCTGATGTTTGAATCGGAGAAAGCTTCATCAGACTTCTGCAAAGATGTGAGTGACACAGGAGCAGACCTGAACTGGAGATGAATAACACAGTATGAAACCAGCTGTCTGTTTTAACGTGGATCCGGACTGTTCTTCAGATCCCTGCTTCATTCTGACCGCCACAGATGCATGCTTTTTCCAAATACCATGAGTCCTGTTTATTCGATAAGAATTGCTTTATTTTCTTAGGTGTGTTTGGCGAAAGCAAACAGCGTCGTCCCCCTGGAGGCCGTGGTGGTCCAGGATCTGAGTCTGGGTGAAGGCCAGGCCGTGGAGAATGGAGACTCTCTGGAGGTGGTGTACACAGGCTGGCTGCTTCAGAACCACACCATCGGAGAGGTGACGTCCACCATTATTTCATCAATTCATTCTCCAGCTTTGTGTAGATTTCATGACACACTCATCATTGAATCTTTGATATCCTTCAGATGTTTGACACCAACCAGAACAAGGACAAGTCGCTACGCCTGAAAATTGGAGCTGGAAAAGTGATCAAGGTAAGTCAACACCAGGGTTCATTTCATGACTACTTTAGTTGCTCAACAATTGATCAAAAATGAATGATGACAAGATAGCACCAATGTCATTAAACAATTACTGTGGCTACAACACCAAACATAAAGACTGAATCAAAAAGTAGCACTTTATTTAATACAAAATGCACTTAATAGAAATAGCAGCTTAAGTTCAACCCCCTTTAAAACAACTGTTAAGTCTTTAAAACCCTGTAAAGGTTTATAGCCCCTTCACACTACATACAAATATCTTCATATGCAAATATTTATATTAGAATAGTATGCAATGAAATCAAATAATATACACAGTTACTCATTTATAGATTCTTTAAATATAGACTTTGGTTTAGTGGAGATGGGGTTAGTAAAGGCTAAAACCAGCGTAACAGAAAGCTTAGTTTTATTCATTTATGATGAAGTGTTGAGGATAAGGTTCATCTTATGGCATCCATTCATTACATTTCTAACAGTATGTGTTATGACCTGGTGTGATCTGCAGGGCTGGGAGGAGGGGATGGTGGGGCTGAAGAAGGCGGGCCGTCGTCTGGTGGTGGTCCCCCCCGACCAGGCCTACGGAGCCAAAGGAGTTCCCAACCGCGTCCCCGCTAACAGCACTTTGATTTTTGAAGTGGAGCTTCGACGGGTAACACCCACTGAACACTTTTCTACACTCACCTCTTGTATTTGATATTTGCTCACATCATGAGTGTTCTTATCTTGCGTTAGTACATGTCTTTGACTTTATTCTTATTGATCGTAATGTTGCCAGTGGGAACTGAAGATCTTTCTGCCCTTCTTCCACTTTAGGTGAAGTTTTCCAAGGACAATGGGTCTGTTAGTTCCAATGCCAGCACCAGAGGCTCTGCTGCCCCCTCCCCAGTTCCTTCCCCAGCCCCCAGTGGGGAGAATGTGGCCCTAGAGCCCCCCCCACAGACCACGGCCTCCGGTCCAGGCAGACCAGGGTGAGGCCTCAGGAAACAATAAACAGTATTAACCATAATTCTTTTGTTGCCTCAGATCATTTTTATTTTACCTTTTTTTTTTTTTTTTTGCAGAGAGCCACCACTTCGTGCGAAGTCAAACTCTCTGAGTGAACAGCTGGCAGTAAGCCCCCCCACAGACTTTCTTCCTATTTACAATGTTTTGTGATGTTTATTGCATTTTCTTTGCAGCTGGATTGATGGAAGGTTTCTTTTTCACACTTCAGAATCCAGACGCCACAAAAGCAAAACTGATCTCTCGCATGGCGAAGATGGGCCAGCCTATGCTGCCCTTTCTGACGGGGGGTGCCAGCCAGCCCGAGTCCAGTGATTCTGAGCTGGAGGTAGGTCGGCACAATGCTGGGACAGGCTCTTCTGTGGAGGTTAAAGAATATGTCTGGTAGTGTTATCATTTTCTCTTATTGTCACAAACCCATAAGGAGGCCAAGACCGACAATGAATGTTTTTCAGCTCAATTGTTGCCAAAAAAACTATTAAAATCACATCAATGAGTCACACAAATCACATGAGAATTATTTTCAGAAAATGGGAAAGAATGTAACAGCTTTCCTGTTCTAATTATCAGAGCAAACATCATGTTTATAGGGTAACTAAGGGTGTTTTTAAATGGACAACTAGTCACTAAAAGCCTCTTTCCACAGAAGACATTTTGACTAGTCATACTAGGTAAAGCACAGGTGTTGCTTAAAATATTTACAATGGCTCTCTTCTATTCAAGTGCTCTTGTTTACAGCGGGATTCAATCAAATTTGAAGTATAAATATTGTGTTTGTATTCATTTGGAATCAACCATTTGTTCTTAAAGGGGCACTTTTCGGGGTTGACCCAAACCTCATCTAAGAATATTTCGGCCTCTACTGCTCTGACTTTCGTCTTTAATTTGTATCTGTTTCTTGATAATCTTTCATCCTTATGGGAATACAACAACTGCATTTTAAATGATTATTATCTTTAAAGAATGATATCTGATGATATAAATCTGGTGTCACCACTTACTTTGTGCCACTGTTGGTCTCCAGGACACCAGTGGCAGCAGAGTGAGGGAGCAGCCTGCTGCTCCGTCTCCACTGCAGATCTCCGCCTCTGCTCCAGCTGCTGCTCCTGCACTACATCCTCACACCGCTCCACCTTCTGCCTTACTTCCTTTTATGAGCACTGCTGCCCCACAGCCCGGACTGACAGGCTGCAGCCATGCCTTTCAGGTGGGATTCCTCCACATATGGTACTGACATCAGTAAGTACATCATGGACAGACGTGGTAATATCAGTGCATTCTGTTGTTTTCCAGCCTTACTCTTACACACAGAGCTCTGGGGCTCCATCCCAGCTGCAGCCTGTGGGCCAGGTGTATCCTGCACAACCTGTTCCATACATGGGTAAGAGTTCTATTCAATAAGGATCAACAGCTGCGACAGCCTCATTTATCAATATAACTACACAGCTGCAGGACACTTGTGTTTGGTTCTAATAGTGAAAGTTCGATAATTAAACTCTGTGACGGTGTTGGGGAGATCCAGTACTCACAACAGGAAAGAATGAAACAGAGAGGAATCAATGAAACACAAACACAGAAATAGTTGAGATGAATCATTATTATTTAGTTGCGCACCACCAAACAACAATGGGGAAACATTACCTTGCTTCAACAGCAACCAATCGCAGAAATGCTCCCACGAACACAAGAAATCACAGGGCGAATATAGGTTTCCTAAATGACACACGAACATGTTCCCTAATCATGTTTAACGCACACACATTGTCAGTTCTCCTAAACTTGGACATGTTCCAGATGTCGAAAGGTCATCATCTCATGACTTCTTTAGGAGTCTTGCAGGATATGAATTATCCAATTAACAAACTATATATACGTCTGCACATGAACGCACATACATTTCTTTCATTAACTAACACTTAACTGTATTATATCTAAATGTAGTCTCTTTGCATTTCCTCTGAGCTTGGCGTCAGCTCACTTAACGTAATAATTAGCAAAGAGACGATTCTATGGAAACTGTAATTCAATAACATACCTAGTTACTATGACTAGGTCCAAGATTGATATAACATTGGTTTGTTCTCGTCAGGCTCCAGTGATGTCACTTCCTTCTTGATGACTGAGGCCCGACAACACAACACAGAGATCCGATTATCTGTCGGAAAAGTAGCAGATAAAGTGGATCAACTGGCCTCAAAGGTATAAACTCTGTGAATAACAATATGTTTAAGACGTTTTAATAGAAAGGAGAACATCTGGTTGGATTTGTATTGATGTTTTGGTTTTGACAGATAGATGACCTTCAAAGGCATGGAAGTCTTTCTGTCGCTGTTCCTAGTTTGTCTATGGAAACCTCCATGATCATGCACAACATCCAAAGAATAGTCCAGGTACACGCCTGAACAAACGCTGCCTTGTGTTCTAGGAGCCACTTTTTGATATCATAATAATAGATAGGTGTACTGGGACAGAATTCCAACTGTATTCCTAAAGCTTATTTTTGCCTTTTAGGAAAATGAATGTTTAAAAAAAGAAGTCTTTGATAAAAGCTCTCGTATTGAGGAGCAGAACCGTAAGATTGGGGAGCTCATCAACCAGAACCAGAGGTGAGTCACAGACAGAACATCATGACATCACTGTGTCACCAGCCATACATGTCAAAGATGTCACGTGGAGCTCTTATGTTTGATAGCAGCATTAAGTGGTGTGTTTCATTTATTCATTAAGTTCATAATGGTTCCAAAAACATTATTTTATTTAAAAAAAATACATTGTCTCATTTTCTTAGAAAAATTGGTGGATGATGAAAAGAATGAAAATGGCATTTTAATGGACTTAAAGATTTGTGTAAGCTATTATCTGATCTCACACATTGCTATTTAAAAAAAACGATAGGCGGATGGCATGCAGATGACAATACAACATATTGAAGAGGTCTTACAGTATGCCCTCTTCACTGTCCCTCTGACAGTCAACAGCCCACGCTGACTGCAGCTCGAGCAGAGTGTCAGTGTGTGTGTAGTGAGCTGGGTGTGTTGTGTGCTGCTGTTGGTGTGCACTGCAGGTACATGGAGCAGAGTCACTTGGTCATGGAGCAGAGGAACGACTCCCTCAAGTCCTCCAGCGAGCAGAACCAGGCCCGACTGCTGCAGGCGGAGCAGGACAAGGTGAGAGGGGAGCAGCTGAGCACTGCTGTAAAGTAACTGAGTACATTTAGTACTCTACTTAAGTACAATTTTGAGTTACTTTTTATTGAGTATTTCAATTTGTTGCTACTTTTTATTTCTACCCCACTACAGTTCAGAGGTAAATAGTGTACCTTTACTCCACTACATGTATTTAATACCTTTAGTTACTTTACAGATGTGGATGAATGATGTGAAATCTAATCAAGTGTTAAATCAGACTTTAGTTCCACCTGGAGTAAATTCACCAGCTACCCTGCAGTATACAAAGTCATTCAAACTAGCTGCACCTTTACCAGCTTTGAGAACACTTTCATGATCAATCATTATAAAACATATCATATATATTATTCTGAAATTGACCAATCTGCACAATCACTTTTTTTGGTACTTTTAACTACATTTTAATGCCAACACTTTTGTACTTACTTGAATCACAGTTTGAATGCAGGAATTGTACTTGTCACAGCTTGTAACTTGTAACAAGCATCACTGACTACAAATGGACCTATACCGTGACATTCAGAGCGTTGACATTTGACTCATTTGCCTGGTCATACCTGACTGCAGAACACAGCTCCCACATGCGTTCAGAGACTTCCACTTATTACATATCATGTAAACCAAGGAACTTTCAGTGTGTGGATGTGGTTTTCACAAAACAGGGAGGAATATGCATTTCTCCACTGTCATCTAACCAAACTGTTGTGAGAAGATAAGCGATAAGAAATGTCAGAACAGAAATGATCTAAAGATATGTTTGGAGGTTCAGAGCAAAATGGTTTGAAAATCTAACTGAACACTGGTTTATTGTCTTCTGTTTAATTGTAATTTGAGTTTTACATTATATTTTCACCTTAGTAATACACTTGTTTTTGTAAGTCATTCTGTTCCTGCTTCACCCCTGATGTTAATGATACGTACTTCACTCTGCCAGCTTCTGTCTGCCTGATTACTTATGCTGCAGTGCTGCTTTCAATCTAGCATTTACTGCTCTCTCTTCCCAGCATGCACTGCCTCAGGACCTGGGCCAGGTGAGCCAGTTTTCTCTGTGTTCTGTAGCAGACAGGGTCACATAGTATCTGCAAATGTTCTGTTTTGAGCACACAAAGCTAAGAGATCCTCACTGAGTTTATCATGGACAGTTTGAAGGAAGATTAACACTCTCTTCCTGAAATCTTTTTTGAGGAGCACAACAGATAAGTCTCCCAAACAAGTCACAGGTTTCAAATCAACCCAATCACTTTGGATACAATTCTAGAATTTAACAGCTGATCTGGTTAATCCGATCAAGCCCCATTTCCAACTGTCCGGCACCAAAAGTATCATATGCAGCTACTATTTGACCCAGATCTGACGCTGCCCCTGGCTCATCCTGTTTATGTCACACTTCATTGACATTAAAACTAACTTTTTTCCTCCTGTCTCTTATTCCATCCGCCATCACTCACCATGTTCCTCCCACAGGGTCATGCTGCTCACTCACCAGCACCCGGAGCCACTCATTAGGCCTCTCTTTGTTGTTCCATTGTCTGTGTGGCCCGGGCTTCACTTCACTGTAGTCACTGGTACCCCCCCCCCCCTCTCACACCTCCCTCTCTGCGTCTCCATCAGGTGCGTCTGACGGAGGATCTGACTGCCTCCACGGCCCAGATGTCTGAGCTGCAGCTGGAAGCCGCAGCTCAGCAGCAGAAGGCGGCGGAGCTGCAGAACAAACTGATCTCAGCTCTGCAGGACAGCGAGAGGCACTGCCAGCGCATCGCTGCCATGGAAACACAGCTGGAAGGTTAGTGCTGTACTACTTATTATTGATTTAAAGCAACAATCCTGCAATAAATCCTTACTTCATGAACAGTGTAGTCTTCAGCTTGTTGGAACTGTTGTTCCTCAATTATGTATTTCCTGTAACAGCTGCCACTGTAGCTTTCAAATACTCAAACTAAAGGAATTAGAGCATTTGTTGGGGACTATTTTCTTTAGACGATTAATCTACAATTGAATGTTTTGTGTGTAGACAGATCTGGAGGTAGTCACTTATAAGACCAAAACCAGCACTGTTAGTCTGTCTCTCAGTGCCTGACTTCTCAACCCAACTTCTGACTAAAGACAAACATCCCAAGTTTTTCGTTTTTATAGAACAGCTGCTGTAGTTTTTTATGAAACATTACGCAAGAAGAAATAGTGCATTGGTTTGGGAATATTTTCAGCAGCAGATTTATTTACATGTTGTGCTCTCTGAGTGTTTCCAGCTACAGCAAGTGAATGCAGGAAAAGAACCTACTGTGTTGGACAGAGGAGTAAAATATATCAGACATAATACATAGCAGTTGTTAGTAGATACATCTTTCCAGGCTTTGGTCTGCAATGGGATTGGTATCGGTGCCTCTAAAGCAGGGGTGGGGAACCTTTTTCCTCTCAAGGGCCATTCCATTTTTTCAACATCCTCCGAGGGCCGTACAAATGATTGACCTCTGCTTAAAAAAACTAAAATCACAGCCCATTCATTTTGCCTTTCTTTCATGCTGTGCAAAGAAAAAGCAACCTCTTAATCCAGATATCTTACCATGACTCGCGTATGCATGCACGTGCACGGTGTGGCATGACCACCACAACAGAAAGATATGGACACAAGATGTGTGCAAATGTATTTAGTTTCCTATCCATGTGAACATGATTTAAGTGGAGGGGACCTAACCTCCTCTAGGGGGGTCCGGGGGGCATGCTCCCCCGGGAAGATTTATTTTTAAATGTTGAAGTTAAAATCATCAATCTGGTGCACTTTGAGAGCAACATTAGGAGATCTATGGATACATCTCTCAACACCCATATGAAACAGAACTGTAACCAGATTTTCTTTTTCTTTATGGATATTTTACAAATCACTCCCCTTTCAAACTGTATTCTTGTTTATTAATAACAACTTTTTTTTACTGTCATATAGTATTTTATACCCGTTTACTTTATTCTCTTATTTTTTATAACTATAATGATCATATAAAGATGTGCCTTTACCTCACTGGTTGTAGAACAAGCTTCTTATATTCGTTAGCATAGCTAGCTAACCAGATGCCAATAACAACAAAGTTATTGACTATGATCAGTATGACAGATGAACAGATCGCCACTGGGCTTTCAACTAAAGACACAGCCACGCAGAAACTGCGGCTCCTTATCTGAAGTGTTGGAGCGGCGTTCTGGTGCTCTCCGTCAGAACTGCACCAAGCCCCCAGGAAGTGCGCCGGACTCAGATGAAAATATTCGTGCTGGCCAAATGGCGGTACTACACTTCCTTTTGGTTGCCAGGCCCGGAAACACTTTTTCCCATTGACTTACATGGGGAAAGAGTGGTCTGTAAATCGTTGGATAATTTTTTTTAAACTAAATAAACTACCCAGTATGAACACTTGTATAGCCCTTATTAAAAACATTCGTTCCTCAAGTTGTAAAAATGTGCTAATAACGTTATTCTGAGAGTTATTTCCCTCTGCATTATGAACGCGCATCTAACCCACGGGACCTAGGGCGCCGCCCGTGACACGTTCAATGTTACGTGGTTCACACTACCTGCGTTTATCTTTACCCATGGATGCCACAATAAGAACGGACCCCGATATCCGCCTTAACTGCCAGCCCACGGAGCTGTAATAATGGATATATTGCCACATGTTTGCTGTATTCATAATTTGTAAAATATTATAACTACTATGGGCTTAAGGAATTAAATCGTGTGAACCGTAAATGTTGTATTAAATAATGTTAATTATTACCCGACGTAGATGAACGTCCCTGTTCTATTGGACACTAAGAAGCCTTATTGTCACTGTATATTTATGCAATGTAATGTATAATATATATAATATATATATATATATACATACATACATCATAAACAGGCACCGCTTGTTAATTCTATTGCCTCGAGGGCCGTACCAAATGGTCCTCGCGGTTCACATCATCACCTGTGTTTTGTGTGTGTGTTGTGGTGTGTGTGTGTGTGTGTGGTGTGTGTGTGTGTGTGTGTGGTGTGTGTGTGGTGTGTGTGTGTGTGGTGTTGTGTGTGTGTGTGTGTGTGTGTGTGTGTGTGGGTGGTGTGTGTGTGTGTGTGTGTGTGTGTGTGTGTGTGTGTGTGTGTGTGTGTGTGTGTGTGTGTGTGTGTGTGTGTGTTGTGCTGTGTTTGTGTGTGTGTGTAGTGTGTGTGTGTGTGTGTGTGTGTGTGTGTGTGTGTGTGTGGTGTGTCGTGTGTGTGTGTGTGTGTGTGTGTGTGGTGTGTGTGTGTGTGTGTGTGTGTGTGTGTGTGTGTGTGTGTGTGTGTTCCTGTTCCTGTTCCTGTGGGGATTGTCCCCCGTACTGGCAGTATGTCCTTCGCTTTGGATCAAGCGTCGAACCTGTAACATGTGTTCAGAGCTGAAGGAGGGCAGGCAGCAGAGAGGGCCCAGGCTCAGTACCCGCTCAGAGACAGTCAAAGCAAGACGCCAAAGAGACTGGAGCTGAGAGTCACCAACATGGAGGAGGAAGTGCAGGACCTGAAGACTGATAAGACAGCCTGGAACGAGTATGTCCGCTTAGTGTTTGTGTCCACAGGTTCTCTTCAGTCAGAACACATAGAGAAGTCAGAGTCAAAGATTATGTGTTACAAGAACTAATTCAGGGAGAGTGTTTGAAATGTGAACTAGTTGCCAGTAAATGTTGACAGTTTACTTCCCATTCCTTTAAGACACTCTCTGAAAGGAGGCAGAAGTGGCAGGCTGAGCGTCAGCATCGGGACGAGGAGGTGGAGGAGCTCCGGAAGAGCAGCCAGCTGGAGCAGGACAATCTGAGAGCTCTGCTGCGCAAGGCCAGGAGCAGCACCGACACCGCTGCAGCAGAGCAGGTGGGCCAATCAGAGCCACTGTAGGAATATAAATGATAACGTGATGGTTCAATAACTTGCAATTGTTCATCTCTCTGAATTCCCTTACAAATATTCTGAATCAGTTAATAATACCAGAATCAGAATTGTTTTTCTTACCAAGTAGGTTTACAAATATGAGGAATTTGCTTTGGTATGGTGCATACAAAGACACAGAAAGAAGAATACGTAGCAAAAAACAGTACAATTTATTAAAAACAAAATAGTGTAGAGCTGTGTAGATTCTAAAGAGGTAATGTGGAGCAGAAATGTGCTAAATGTTGTTCACATAAATGTAATGCAAACTGTTTTTCTGGGGGTGGATAATAGTCAATGGATGTGGCGAGAGGCTTTGGTCCTTATAGTATGTTTTATAAAAGAGTTTATCTCACGTGACTTCATTGGCAGCATTGCATCCCTCATGTTCTGTGGCCTGCGTGTGTTGCAGCTGTGTCAGCAGCAGGCGGAGCTGGAGGAGCAGTGGAGGGGGAGGTGTGAGCAGATGATGGCCGGTGGCAGAGAGCAGCACAGCAGAGAGCTGGCTGAGGTCTGCGAGCAGAGAGACGCTCTGCAGGACAGGCTCACCCAGCTGCAGGACAAGGTGGACAACACACACTCCAAAATATTCAATCAGCAAGTCTGTCTTATTGGTTGTTGATTGGAACTCTACATTTGCACATTATGAGACATGTTGGCTCAGGGGCTTTTTGAACGTTACCCACACTAGGGACTGAAACTCCTGATATCTTTCCAACAACTTTATAATGCTGGATATCCATTTTAATAATAATGTAATATCTTTAATATTATGTTTTGGTTTTGTCTTTAATGTTGGGTCATGGGTTAAGATCATAATAAGGAGCAGGCGAAGTATAATATGGCATTAATGATTTCTGTACATTACTTCAGCTTTAACATATCTAATGAACTTTGTAAGGAACAAAACTCTCCAGCCGTTCTACATGTACCAACAACTTAAGGCTCAAACAGCTCTCACCAAAGAAAACAAGTACACAATGCACCTTGAAATTCTGTAGGCTAGCTAGTTAGCTTAAAAAGATCAAACTGCTAACTAGCCGGCTTTCATCCTAGGGTTAGGGTTATCTACGTTCTTTGTTTTCACAATGGATTTTGTTATCAAACTGAAACAATTAGATGATGAAATGATTAGTTCTCAAAGTAGAAAACTGAAAATTAAAATACGAAAAAAATAAAATAAGTCTGAACCTTTTTTTACTTGGATTCACCATAATTGGACACAAGTTGGCTTGACATAGTGAAGAGTTACTATATGATGATATGATTGCCTTATTTTTGCCTCTGTTTCACTCTCAACAGTTCAGCGGCTGTGAAGCAGTCAAGACATGTAGAAGAACAGACTTTGCTCCAACACCGCGGGCAGACTGAGGAGCTGCAGGCCCTGCAGGGGAGAGTAAGATGGGGGGGCTGCTGTGAGACACTATGCTCTTCACTGGCAGGGAATGCATCTGTCAGGACATTAAGACTTCGTATTAAAGTCAATGTTTGCCTCTTTTATTTCTTAGTACACAACCTTGGAGCAGCAAGCAGTGTCTGTGAGGGAGGCTTCTGGAAAGAAGAGTAGCTGAACTGGAGCAGCAAGGCTCTGAGCAGCAGGCTTCTGGGGACTCTTCAGCAGAGGTGGGGTTCCTCCATCAACCCTAACATTTTTTCCTCCGGTTTTCCCATCATTCATTAGAAGACAAAAGGAGAGAATACAAATCCAGAATGATTAACAATAGCTCATTAGAGCCTCTATATGTCAGTGTAGGCCCCTCCCACTCTCAGTTCTAGCTTCCCCACACACAAAAAGGAAGTCCAAACTACAGGGGGTATAACATGATGAATGTAACAATTTACATTTCTACAACTTGTGTTTCAGTTTGATATCTGCTTTATGTAGGAGTTTCATGCAGGCAAAATGTGAAGAGCTATACATTCCATGCCTGTGACGTGAAGCTGTGTGTTTCTGCAGGTGAAGCACGTGATGAACGGAGTGTTTCACTCTCTGAGAGGACAGTTTGACCTCAGTGAGTCTTACAGTGGCCAGGCTGTGCTGGGGGTGATCGTCACTACTATCAAGGTGAGGACGTTACACACACACACACACACACACACACACACACACACATACATACAGACACACATACAGACAGACAGACAGACACACACACACACACACACACACACACACACCACGACGAGACAGGCAGACAGACAGACACACACCCGACAGACAGACACACACACACACACACCCGACAGACACCACACACCAGACAGACAGGACAGACCGACAGACAGACGGACACACACACCAGACAGACAGACACACACCAGACAGAGAGGACAGACAGACAGACACACACACACACACACACCGACAGACACACACACCAGACAGACAGACAACGGACAGACAGACAGACGACTACCCACACACCAGACAACAGACAGACCACACCAGCCAGACATGACACACACGACAGATCAACAGACAGGACAGACAGACAGGACAGACACACATCAGACAGACAGGACAGACAGACAGACAACAGACAGACAGACACACACATAAACAGACATACAGGACATACGCAGCAGACAGAACAGACAGACACACACACACACCCGACAGACACACACACACACACACCCCGACAGACAGACACACAACACACACCACACCCACGACACACAACACGACACGACAGACACACCACCACCACACACAGACAGACAGAAACGACAGACAGACAGAGACACACACACACCAGACAGACATACAGACGGACAGACAACAGACGTACACACACACACCAGACATACAGACAGACACACACACA